TGGGTCTCCCCCAGGGCTCATGTTTAAGCCCCCTTCTGTATAATTTCTACGTCAGAGAAATTGACAATTGTCTAAGGGACAACTGCACGTTGAGACAACTTGCAGATGACGAAGTAGTGTCTATGACAGGACCCAGAGAGGCCGACATGCAAGGACCCTTACAGGATACTTTAGACAATTTGTCTACTTGGGCCATCCAGCTAGGTATCGAATTCTCCACGGAGAAAACTGAGTTGGTCGTTTTTTCTAGGAAGCATAGCCCAGCACAACCAAAGCTTCAACTTTTGGGTAAACCGATCACTCATTCTATGTCCTTCAAATATCTTGGGGTCTGGTTCGATTCAAAATGCACCTGGAGATCCCACATTGAGTATCTGAAGCGGAAATGCCAACAAAGGATCAATTTTCTCCGAACAATTACCGGAACGTGGTGGGGAGCCCATCCGCAAGATCTTCTAACGTTGTACCGGACAACGATTTTATCGGTTTTAGAGTACGATAGTTTTTGCTTCCAGTCGGCGGCTAAAACGCACATCATCAAACTGGAACGGATCCAGTATCGCTGTCTTCGTATCGCGTTAGGATGCATGCACTCGACTCATACGACGAGTCTCGAAGTGTTAGCGGGCATGTTGCCACTCTCTGATCGGTTTTCGGAATTATCCCTCAGGCTCCTCACCCGTTGTGAAATTACGAACCCACTGGTGATTGCAAACTTTGAGAAGCTTCTTGAGCTAAACCCTCAAACTCGTTTTATGTCATTGTACTACGTGTACATAACACAGGATGTCAGCCCTTCGCAGCATAATCCCTATCGTGTTTGCTTCTCCGACTTCGACAGTTCTGTTCATTTTGATTTATCAATGACGCAAGAGATTCGCGGAATCCCAGAGCATCATCGTTCCATGGTTGCTTCGTCAATTTTCGCTGCAAAGTTTGGCCAAGTTGATTCCGCAAGATCGTTCTTCACAGATGGATCACTAACAAAGGCGTCCGCTGGTTTTGGTATTTATAACGAATTTCATAGCGCCTCTCGAATGCTTCATGCTCCTTGTTCCGTATATGTTGCGGAACTGGCGGCAATACATTATACGCTAGAAACACTTGCACCAGATCATTATTTTATTTTTACGGATAGTCTCAGTTCTGTCGAGGCTATTCGCTCCATGAGGCCGGTAAAGCACTCCTCGTATTTTCTCATGAAAATACGAGAGCTTCTAAGTGCTTTATCTTTAAGATCTTTTGTCATCACCTTTGCATGGGTCCCATCTCATTGCTCGATTCCGGGCAATGAGAAGGCGGACTCGCTTGCAAAGGTGAGCGCTATGGAAGGCGATATTTACGATCGACAAATCGCCTACGACGAATTTTTCTTCATTTATCGTCAACAGTCCCTCGCCAGCTGGCAAAATAAATTGAGTGAAGGGAGTTTGGGACGATGGTTATATTCAATCATCCCTAAGGTGTCGAAGTGTCCTTGGTTCAAGGGGTTGGATGTGGGTCGAGACTTCATTCGTATGATGTCTCGCCTCATGTCCAATCACTACTCGTTAAACGCTCACTTGTTCCGTGATGAGCTGGGGGACAGTAATCTCTGTGAATGTGGACAAGGTTACCAGGACGCAGATCACATTATTTGGTCATGTGCTGAGCACCGTGGAGTCAGATCCGAGTTGTACGATTCCCTTCGGGCTCGAGGTAGACAACCTAATGTTCCAGTTCGGGATATTTTGGCTAGACGCGATCTGGAGTTTATGCAACTCATATATGTTTTCTTGAAGAATATTAACCATAGATTGTAAGTTTGATTAACCTTGTGTTTAGTTTGTGTTTTGTATGTGAATTTGTATTTTTTTTTTTGTAGATTTGTTTCTGTAATAATTGTATAATTACAGAGTTGATATAACGTCGATAGGATTAAGTATATGTTTTAGAAATAGTGAAATTTTTGAATCATAAATCATATTCCAAATCTCCTTTTCCCTCTCCTGATCCAAACAATTGTCATCCACTAACCTCGAGAAGACCGCGAGTAATCGGTTCCAATTCTTTAATTTTAGGTTTAAGACATTTGTAATGTATAAAGAAAATGATAACTTGGCTCTGTAAAGTTTATTCGATTGAGCCTGTACAAATAAAGTAATTAACAAAAAAAAAAAAGATTATTCGAAAGTCGCGTATCGCAACAGGACCGGTCCTTTGCACTTCTGTCTGAGCACTGACTACGTGTTATCATCTCTGCTATCACTTCGGGAAAGAGAGTCACTGAACCGGAGAAAATAGAGAGCTCACACAGAATGCAATTGGCTAGTACTAGGGTTGTTCATTTTCTCAGTCTAACATTATCTTTATTAGGGAGGCTTTCAGCCTTGGGCTGGTTCGCCTCGTCAGTCTAACATGTATATATACTATTTTTAGCTTCTGATTATATTGTTTATTGTATTGCATTCATGCTGTGCTTTTGGAGTACTAAGGATTAAGCTGAACTACAACTGCACAAGTGGGGCTACAAGTGCTGATGTAAAGAGGGCCGTTTTTGAGTGTTTTTGCATTGCTTAATTATATTGTATGTAAATGTTTATTTCATTATTTTCAGGTTTATGAATTTGTTATCATTTTGTTGTTTCCAATGGCAGAAAATATTATATTTATGTTTGTTGAAATTGGTTATTGAAATAATATCATGGTGTATGCTAGATAACATCTTAATTTAACTTGTTATAAAATTATTTTCAGAAATTGCAACACCCTAGAGTGAATCATCTATTTTTTATATTTATTAACAAGATTTTTACCTATACGCCAATTCAACAGGGTCAAGTGAAGGAAAGGCAGTAGAAGAGGTCTCTGTAATCATCGAGGAAATGTATGCAGTCTTCGTGTAGAGAAATTATTTTTTGATGTATATTGTATTGTTACAAAATAAAATCTAATTTGCAGTTAATAATAAGAAATTATTATCTATTTTATATTTAGCATGATGAAAATATACGAAACACATGAGCGTCAATCGAAGAACATCCATGCAACTTTTAACTTAAAATTGTTTAACCCCATTTTTTAAATTGTTTTAGTAGCATAGAACCTGTCTTAAAAGCCAACTCATAAAAGTATCGATATTGGTATAATGCGAAAACGAATGCATTACATGAAATTATATTTATTTTGTTCAAAATAATGAATTAATTGTTCAAATATTTACAAACAGGATATAAATACGTCTGGAAGTAAACAGCATAGCATAATTGGAGATAATTTCAAATTGCCTGAATATAACCTTACATTACAGTGTAATAACCAAATAATTTTACTCTTACAGGGTTTTCACTATATACAATCATTGTTGATTTATTCATTAGTATCCTTGCAAAAGTACTGTTTCATGTCCAAATAACCTAGATTTTTCGGTCTATTGATTCATTGCTAAAATAGTATCGATATTTTCAAAATATTCCATGATGCGTTAGGTCATTCTATGGCTAAATGTTTAAAGCATACTAAAATATTAGGGGTAATAATAATTATAAAAAAACAGAAAAGTGCAATTGTAAAAATTTTAAATCTACGTTATTTGAACATTTTCATGCTTATTTTCTCTTATATTTTGCAATTCACTATATATTTAATAAACTTCAAATAATGCATGTTATATATTTAAAATTATATTGTATACTCATAAAATGCGGGGACGGGAGGGAGCATCAGAGTATCATTGAAGTTGTAACTGGACAATGGAGTGGAGTGCCAGCCGGAGTCTAGGAGGAAATGTTCTGTTATTTTAGATAGTTGCATTTTACTCCAACAGTTGCAATGCATTTGACGCGCTCTTCTCAAACAAACCATCCCGTGGAAAGCTTATCATGTATTGCGAATTTCGTGGTTCATTTTGTTGGATCATATTGCTGGAAGGAGATTCTTTTATTCCCGCGAGTGTCGCGTAAGTGTATCTGCTTACGGGCCCGCCCAATCCTTTTTGGCCCTTCATACAGCAATATGTTGAATTCAGAATGATTACGAAATTCGATCTTGCTGTTAAGTGGAGCCGCATGCAGGGCAAGACCCAAGCTAGGATGGTGGCTTCTTACATACAATATTATTGTTTTCAAATACAAATTAAAATTGTCTAAGAAAGGTTTTTTTAATTATTTTAATTTTTATGAATATTATTTACAAAATACTTACAATTTCGATGTTCATTAGGATGAACTCGTGCACACGCAGTCTAGCTGCCCAGGCGCAATAGAAATCCGCCGGGACGAAGCTCTTCACCAGCACGAAGCTCCGAAGAGAATCCAGATGTTCTTTTTCCTATCATTTTAGTAAACACTGATCGAATTCCACTCCGTCATTCGGACTTAGTATAATTTTGACGAAAATTTTAATCGAACCAATGTATAAATTTTGAAAAACCATAAAATGCATAATATTTAATCTATATTCGTTTTGTAATATTTTTGAGTGAAGGCTTTTGAAATTCTAGGATTGTCCTCATTTGAGTCACCCTAGTGTACACTAATGGTGGTAAGGTCTAATCATCGTATTAAATACCGTGTCTGGCTACTTTAATGTCGACACCAGAGTTAATCAACACGACTCTAAGACCAAATTTGGCAGATGATTCGAACATGGTGGGTGTTGTTCGGGAAACTACTTGCCCACCGGCAAGTCACACCGATATTAAAATTTGCGACGGTGATATTTTTCGGACTAGCGTAGAAAACGTACGATGGCTTTGCTGGTCTGATAGTAACTAAAGTATATTTCGATCTCTCGTTTACATTGTGCAGGGATGAGAATGTATGATAACGAGTGTTAGAGCATGATAACGAGTGTACATAAGAGTGAGTGCGTATGAATGTGTGGTTACAATTCAAGGTAGAGAAATATCAGGTGGGTAGAATTGTATGGTGTGGTTGTATTTTATACTTAATTTAAATTTTATTATTTTCCAGAGCGCAGATTCTTTCGGAACATGCAGGCCCCCATTGAAACGGCCAGTTTCAAGCGACATCTTGATCGTTATCTCTGGTTTCCTCATCTGGATCGGTTGGAAGAACCGACACTTCGGTGACGGCCCGTTTGTAACGGCCACTAGCTGTCTTCACGATGATTACCCGGACGCGTCCGTCCTTACCAGTAACGGTCTCGACGATACGCCCCAAAGGCCAGTGGAGGGGGGGTGTATTCTCCTTTAGGAGCACTAGCTGTCCTGGTTGCAGATCGATCTGTGGCTTCCGCCATTTTGTCCGTTGATGCAGCTGACTTACATAATCACGTGACCAACGAGTCCAAAGGTCTTGCAGTGTCTTCTTCATGTCCTGTAGGCGACTGAGGCGGCCAGGGTTGATGTGGCTCAGATCTGGTTCTGGGATTGTGACGAGGGGTTCACCAACTAAAAAATGCCCTGGAGTTAGAGCGGCCAGATCATCGGGAGAATCGGTTAGCGGTGATAGGGGGCGGGAATTGAGCACTGATTCCACCTGCGTGACGACGGTGTGGAACTGATCCACCGAGAATGCTTTCAGCCCCATGATGCGACGGAAATGGTGTTTGAAAGATTTGATTCCCGCCTCCCAAATGCCACCAAAGTGAGGTGAGCGTGCAGGGATGAACTGGAACTTGATCCCGTTGTCCAAGCAATAGTTTCTCCATTCGTCGCCCTTGAACTGCTGCAGGAATTCCTTTCGCGACGCGACGAGCTGACGATCCGCCCCGATGAAAGCGGTCGCATTATCGCAATGTAGCTCTACGATACGGCCGCGGCGCGCGACGATGCGTTTCACGGCGTTGATACACGACGCGGCGGATAGATCGGCGACGATTTCGATGTGCACGGCCTTCACCACCAGACATACGAAAAGCGAGACGTACATTTTTACCGACGCGCCCCTCCCATTCAGCGGACGAACGAGGAACGGCCCACAGTAATCCATTCCCGAATACAAGAAGGGTCGTGCTGGTGTAGTACGTACTTCCGGTAATGGAGCCATGATTTGCGTTGATAGCTTCGGATGACACCGGAAACAAGTGACGCACTGACGAACTACTGCACGAGCTAGGTCGCGACCCCAGAGTGGCCAGAATCGTTGACGTATAGTAGCAAGAAGCAGTGTAGGTCCACCGTGCAAGGTTTTTATGTGTATTGCTCGTACGATCATCAAGCTTAGTTTGTGGTTGTGCGGCAACAAAATTGGAAAACGGGTATCGAATGGCGCGTTTGAGTAGCGTAAACGGCCATCGATTCGTAGCAACCCGAATTCGTCCACGAAAAGGTTCATGTTGCGAAGAGGGGACTTTGGTCCCAGATTCGGTGGAATCGATGAATTCTTTAGGAGCATGTATTTCTTAATTTCCGCCTGGAAGGAGAAACGTTGAGCAAGGCGAGCTAGAACCTTAAGCGCTCGATCACATTCATCCGGCGACAGTGATCCGATTGAGCGCTGCGCTCTTGGTAGCTTGCAGTTTTGGTAGAACCTGTAGCAGTAGGCGACACTTTTCAGGAGTTTAGCAAGTTCTGAATATCGGTCAAAGAGTCCTTGATCAGCTTCGCTGACATATAATGTGACGACACGGCGAGCCTCCTCGTTGACTAATTGCTCATCTGGCGCCAGAAAAACGGATGCTGGCCATTGCTCCCTCGGGTATCGCAAGAATCTCGGGCCATACCACCAAAGATCGTCATTAACGATTTGACTTGCCAAGGTACCTCGTGAAATCCGGTCAGCAGGGTTGAAGTTCGTCGAAACGTGTCTCCACTCGAATCCTTTCGTTAGTCGTTGAACCTCCGCCACACGGTTTGAAACGAAGACTTTCCAGCTGTTAGATCTTGACTGTAGCCAGTGAAGCACAATTGTACTATCGGTCCACATTGTTACTGGCTCAGTGAATTCGGTAGTTTTGCGCAGCGTATCGATGAGCTGACTACCAAGTAGCGCAGCGCAAAGTTCCAGGCGTGGAATGGATTGCCCACGCAACGGTGCGACGCGAGATTTTGAGGTCAGAAGGTAACTGTGGAGCTCTCCTGTTTCGTCTGGTGACACGATGTAGACGCAACACCCGTAACCCTTCATGGAAGCGTCACAGAAGCAGTGGAGAGTGTACTGACGAGAAGTGTTAACCAGAACCCTTCGCGGAATTTCTAGAGTGGATAATTGCTGGATGTCAGTTCGATAGGTCATCCACCAATCTTGCAAGTCATTAGATAGCTCCGTATCCCATGGCAAATGTTCAGCCCAGAGAGTTTGTACGAACATTTTAGCATTCAGTACTACAGGCCCGAGAAGGCCGATGGGATCAAACAACCGAGACATCTCAGACACAACTACCCTCTTAGTGATAACGACCTGCTCAAGGAGAGTTGGTATCTTGAACATGAACTTGTCGGATTCAGGAAACCACAGAAGGCCTAGCGTCTTGACAGCAGTTGAACGATCGATTTCTAGCTTGCTGGAGGTTTCCCATAGCTCGGAAGGAATGTTCCTTAGAACTGCGCTGTCGTTAGCTGCCCATTTCCGCAACACAAACCCTGCACCTCCAAGCAAGGATATGAGCTGTACACACGATTCCTGGAGGGTGTGTAGATCATCGTGCCCAGTCAGTACATCGTCGACGTAGATTCCCTTTCGAATGACTGGCACTGCAAGAGGGTAGTGTTCTCCGTCATCGGTGGCCAACTGGTTGAGAACTCGAGTTGCCAAGTACGGTGAGCTGGCCAGTCCGTACATAACCGTATTCATCTGGTAAACCCGAATCGGCTCCGATCGATCATTTCGCCACAGAGTTTGCTGAAATCTGCGGTCATCCGAATGCACCCAGATCTGCTGAAACATCTTCTGTGCATCAGCGGTGAAGACAAAGCGTGGCACCCGAAAGTTGATGACAGTGGCTTGCAGCGGTGGTTGCACCGTGGGTCCGATGACCAAGACTTCGTTGATTGACAAGCCATTGGCATCATGGCTGGATCCATCGAATACTACTCGAGTCTTCGTTGTTGTACTTTCTGGGCGGTGAATAGCATGGTGGGGAAGGAAAAACTGTGGGCCGGACAACGCGTGCGAATTTACCTCCATGTGGCCCAGCTGTTGGTACTCCTCCATTACTTTGCCGTATTCGAGATGAAAGCTCTTGTCAACAGCAAACTTCTTCTCCATCGACAGTAATCGACGAAGTGCAGGAGTGTATGAATCACCCATAAGGGGCACCAGCTCTTCCCGCAACGGCAGACGAACTATGTAACGACCATCCTTGTCCCTTGAGACAGTTTTCTGGAAATGTTGCTCACAGAACTGCTCGTCCGGAGTGAATGATTTTTCCTTGTCAAGATTCTCAATCTCCCAGAACCTTTCCAACTGAGAATCAAGCGACTCGTCGGTGCAGAGATGGCTGGACTGTACGACGACTCCAGTGGCGGCTTGTTCCGTGACCTTGCCGCAGATGACGAAACCGAAAACGGTTTTTTGAAGGATTGGATAATCCGTACCGAGACTAATCTGCTGATTTTCCAGAAGAGAATAGAAAAGCTCAGCGCCGATGATTACATCCACCCCTTGGCTGACGTTGAACTGCGGATCCGCAAGTTGAAGATGCCGTGGAATCCGCCAGCGTGTAACATCGATGTTGCAACTAGGAAGAGCAACCGTAAGTTTTGGTAAGACCAAACATTCGAGACTCGATATGAAGATGCCAAAACGAGAGGCAATCGACATAGTTACGCCGTAGTGTACGTTGACCAAAGACTGTCCGATACCACTGACCGGAGAGTTGAGCTTCGTCCGCTTCAAGTTGAGTCTCTGGCACAGTGCTTCCGAGATGAAGCTGGGCTGGGATCCACTATCCAAGAGTGCACGAGCGTACTGGTATTTATTGTCCGCATCCAGGACCTTAATCACAGCGGTAGAAAGTAGCACGGTGTTGGGATTTCGCCGCTGGATTGACTCAGCACTTTGACAGGCAGTAGGAGGCAAATTTGAGGCGGACGATACTACCGACGACGAGGGAGGTTCGTAACCGAGAGCGGACGACAATTCGCTAAACGACGACACGAGTGGTGAGGCATTCGAAAGCTCAACCGACCGAGAGCTTTGTACCGAACCGAGTCGTGACAGTGGACTATTTTGTAAACGGTTCGATTCTGCGAAAGAGCTTTGTTGTACCGGCAGCGACTGACGGCCGCCAGATCCGCCTGTAGACGTTGTTAGCGGTGGCAGATGCAAAAGCGTGTGGTGTTTTTTCGCGCATGTTTTACATGCACCGCTGGAGCAGTCTTTCGCCAAATGGACCCCTTTCAGGCAATTGATGCAGAGGCTATGCTTCTTGGCTAGATCGAACCGTTCGTGTGGTGTGAGCTTTTGGAACTTGTCACACAGGAAAAGTAAGTGTGGTTGCTGGCAACAGATGCACCTTGCACTGCTCGAAGTGCTCACGTGAGCCGAAGACACACGAGGCTTGGGCTTGCTTTCGATTTGAAAACTGCTGCTTAGTTGGGAGAGCTGTAGGGTTTGCAAGATGCGTGATCTCTTTTGGATGAATTCGAGGATTTGTTTGTATGTCTGCCTATCGTCCCCCGCCGATTGAGTCTCCCATTCACGGAGTGATGTGGGATCGAGACAGCTACTCAACCGTTCGACCAAGAACGAATTCCAGTGCTCTTCGACGTCCTCGAGTTTATCCAAAAGCTGGACATGGCGGTTGAACTTATCTGCCAAATCCACCAGGCCGGTCGCTGTTTCCTTCTTTAGGGGGGAAATAGAAAGCAAGCTAGCCATATGCCTTTTTATCAGCATGTGCTTATTGTCAAACCGGTTTTTCAACAAGTTCCATGCAACCGGATAATTGTTAGCGATAATATCGAGGGAGGAAATCATGCGGGCAGCTTCGCCAGTAACTGAAGCTCGCAGATAGTACAGCTTTTGTACCATGGTCAGCTGCGGGTTTGAATCGATCAGCGAGGTAAAAAGATCGCTAAAAGATTCCCACTCGTCGAAATTGCCAGAAAACTCCTTAAGCTTTATTTCAGGGAGACGGAGATTTGGCACCGACTGTGGGGGTTGGGGGTTTTTAACTGCCGGTGGTAGTAACGGGTGAGGAGATGGAGGAACCTTGCTTCCTAGGGACGCCTTCAAAGCGTAGTAAAGATTCTGGAATTCTCGCCTATCTTCACTAAATTCCTCATCCGGCTCATCTAAGTCTTCGATGTGGTCTTGAATCGCTTGGAAATCCCGCCACATTTCATCCAAATGCTGAATTCTTATTGGCAGTTGATTAGCTTGATCCGGGACATACTCATCGTCAAAGGCCTGGATAACCTCCGCCGAATTTACAATGTTCGAACGACGGCGGTAAAGCGTCTTTAACTTAGCCGCCTTACTAAATTTCTTGGTCGGCGCCATGATTCCCCAACAAAAAATGGAAAATTGTTACCTTATGACGGCTTCTTACGTGCCGTGGGCAATGATGATGATGGCGACGATAACGACGATATCCACCGGTAAGCAATGAGCATACACCAGTGCGATCGACAGCAGTTGTAGGTTGGAAACACCGATGGCGTCCGTATTCGGACGTGCACCACCAGTTCCACTTGATTACAGCCACCGCAGAAAAGTCCAGATCCACCCAGCGGGACGTGAATTTTCAACCAGAAGCGGAACTTTATTTTCACCACCCTGGCAGTGAATGATCCTCTTCGTACGACAATTAGCACTCCGTCCGTGGGAAGTCAAAATCACTAAGCAACGTGGTTGTTGCCTCACTATTGTATGGTCACAATGGTTTCTTCTCGATCGTTCTCGATTGGCGACACACAATTAACAACGTGGTTGCTTTTGGGCCAAACAATAGGTGCTGAATAGAATACACCTTGCCGTCGTGGACGACACGAA